CCCTACACGGAACTGTGATCTGTGAGTGCTTACAAGAGATGCAACCTCTCTCTGTAACTTAATACAGAGAAAAACAGAGATAAGCAAGAATTCAACAAAACACCAGCTCAAGGGAATTTGCACAGACAGTCACTTTCTACTGAAGAACTATGTAGCTTTGACACCAATAAGATCACAATTAAACTACCAAGAAATAGTACACTGGTGCCAGCAGTAGCCTGCCACAGGAAAGCAGCCTTCCCCTTCTCCAAGCAGCCACATATCTGCATGTAAATTGCAGTGCTGTTTGACAGCAAGGTCTGCATTCATGTAAGCTCAAAGTTGTTAGTCAGATACAGCACCTTCTGATAAACGGCAAGAGGGACTCTGGCACCACTGTCTTAAACCTGTCTAAGACTCACAGGTGGTTATTGTGAACAGTATCGTAGTTTTAAGATAGTTCCCAGGTTAGGCAGACACTAATAACCCTTTTGCCACTGTCTCTGCACTGAATGAGGATTTCTACATTCTGCACATATTACAGGGCTCAGTGTCTACTATATAGCTCAAGCGATGTTATAAAATATACTCTTCAGAATGAGCCAGGCCCTAACCTAGGTAGCTTGTACCCAAAGTCCACTGCTCAGCCTTCCCTATTTCAGTTACTACGTAACAAGTGGGTGGAAACCATTTCAGCACTTGCCAGGCCTAACTTTTATACTGAGGTGTGAGGAACTGTGTTTCACTGTGGTAATGTCTCGTGTTACAGCCATTATACTTTGCTTGAGAGACACGGAGGCTGACGCTTGCTCTGCACACGGCTCATTTTGTGTGCGGCTTGTTTTGCGCGCAGCACTATGTTTTGCAGACGAGACGATTTGGTGGGCTGCGCTAGACAACTCCTTAAATAGATATGAGGAAAGACAATGAATAAGAGTAATAATCCAATCACATATCGCCACGCTAGAACCTGTTCAAATTAGCTATAAAACGAGACCTTGGGTGTGGCTCAGGGTCGACCTTGCTTTGAGCACTGAGCTCCTCTGTCGAACTGTTTGCAAACAATAAACTCGAGTTGGACCCAGCCTGACTGTGCGACTCTCTCCTTGAGGCAAATTGGACTAGCCTCCAGGGGCACGAAACTAGCAATTTGTGCAACATCACCATGCAGTGTTTGCTTCAATTAAATCTTATAATATAGAAAAACTCCAAATATCAAAGGCTTGGCAGGAGACATGGAAGTTGTTTGGATTAAGGGAGGGCTCACACTGGCAGCTCCGCACAGAACTTCTGTTGGAACTGGCTCTTCCTGTTCTTGTCCTTCCAGGCTGCCTGTGAACCACACAAGCCTGAAGAGCTTATCTCACATACAGTCACACTGGATTTCTCCCTCTAATAGACAGCTATTCTAAGATGTCTTCCTCAATGTTTTTAAGAAAGGTCAAAAGTTTATACTATATTGGCTGGAAGAAGCTCAGTCCCTGGTGAAACCCTGCTAAAAGTTGCAGCTGAAGCCCTTGTGCTACAACTCCCCAGGGAACTTTTGAG